TAACTCCGGTGGCGAGACACAATATGCATAGCTCAATGATTTTGGAGAGGTATTTTGATAATTTTTGCCATATTTTTCCACGAATTTGTCTAAAAATTGGTATTTGTTAGGCATAATGGCTTTCAATACCGGTGGCGAAACATTGTATGTATAGGCATTAATACACCCTCCAGAATATTTTCGCGATTTATTCTGCCATCGGCTGTTATGGCGGCCCACACCATCACCATGGCCGGCGCTTGAGTTCTGGTGGCCAACCGAAGGTGCACATTTTCAGTTGACCTCTTTGACAAGTAAACACGATCATTTTGTTTGTTTACAACTGCTGCAGAGAAAACCAAATTCGGCAGTTCTCCACTTTGGGCCAAGCGAAGCAACTCTATAGCTCTTTTGAGTCTATTTTCTATTTGTTGCGGTGTAAGTTCTTACACTTTTTGGAATTTCAATGGCTTTACCCCGAACTCATTTTTCAATATTTGCCGAATGGAATATTGCGATATGTTCAGCTAACGAGCCATTTTTCGGCCACTGCGACGCGGGTTTCGATCAAGTCGCTTCTTTACTTTTCTGCTGATGTTGCTGTTTTCTTCCGTCCACTTCCTTGACGTCGGGACACGCTACCAGTATCACGGTAACGAGCGATGGTACGAGACACAAAAGATTTATTCACATTTAAATGCTGGAGTGCTCTAACGATAGCCCTTGTGGATTTCCAGCCAAATATAAAGAAATCACACTACCACGCTTGAATTCCATCACGAATAACTTTTTTTCTGGAAAATTCTCGCCAACGTGAGCTGTCTCTCGAACAATTTTAACAGCTGTCGGACGAGTGGCTTAGAAATAACAGCAGTCTGAAGTTGGTTGCAGTTTTTTCTCTCACCCTGCAAAATTGTCTATATAGGTTTCCGTTTTGGTTTGGCGCCCATGTAACGGCCTCACCCCCTTTATGGTTCCTTGAAAAGTTTAACAGCATTGAACACGTTTGAACTCAGATACTTTTATATAAAAATATGTTCTTTGCTCACTGGTGGAGGGTTTTAAAAGTTCGTCCCGGCCGAACTTAATGTTTTTTTACATGTTAATTTTCAGATGATTTATTCTCCTCATTCTAAGTTAAAGGTCTTGTTCAATTATGTACACATTTTTATACCCTCCACCATACATAGTCAGGAGGGAATATAAAATTCGTCATTCCGTTTGTAACTCATCGAAATAATAATTTTAGACCCAACAAAGTGTATATATTCTTGATCAGTGTAAAATTCTAAGACGATTAAGCCCAGTCCGCCCGTCCGTCAATCCGTGTAATCACGCTACAGTCTAAACGAATTAAGATAGGAAGCTAAAATTTTGCGCAGATTTGTCTTTTGTGTGCAGGCAGGTCAATTTCGATTATGGGCTATATCGGTTCACGATATCGTATAGCCCCCATATAACGGTACCTCCCGATATTAGGTACTTTGATGATTTAGCCACATTTTTTAATGGAATTGTCTGAAATTCAGCACAAGGAGTTCTTTAAAAGTACTTTACCCGCTGAAAGAGAATTGTGTATACAGATCCAAGATATCGTATAGCCTCCTTATAAAGATGATGCTTTTAGCCACATGATATGATTGGAATTGTCTGGGAATTCTCACAAGAAGTTCCTTTTGAGTTCTTTTATCCCCTAGAAGAGAATTTTCTATATAGGTGCACGTTTGTCTACATAACGTTTCCATATAAGGGTACCCCAGATAGTCGGTATTTTCATGATTTTTGCGGCATTATTCACCGGTACCTCCCGACATTCGTTATTTTGATTAAAATTTCGTGTTCGAAGATCTTAATGGGTACTACAGCCTATGACCAAAAAATTCAGGTCCACGTCTTCGTATAGCCCCGTAAAAAGGTCATCATTTAAACGGTCTTTTTCGGAGTTGAAATGTTTCAAGTTGCTTCCAAATAGTGGAGGGTACTAAACGCCAGCCCGGCCAAACTTATCTGCTTTTTATACCCTACACCACAAGGTGGTCAGAGTACTATGTCTTTGTGCATTTGTTTGTAACAGACAAAAGGAAACGAAATAGACCCATAGTTCCTTTTGATGATCTGCATAGAATCACATCCTGAGTCGATTTATGCATGTCCGTCCGTCCGTCTGACCATGTATTTTTGTAAACAAAGTACAGTTCGCATTTATTGTCCTATCCAGATGAAATTTTGCACAAATCATTTCATTGGCCCAAGGACGAACCCTATTGAAATTGGAGATAATCGGTCAAAATGTAGATTTAGCTCCCATATATATCTTCGTCCGATTTGCCTTTTATTGTGCACCAAACGTATAATATCAGTCCGAATAGTATGGAATTTTGCACGTACGATCAGATTGGACCTGAAAATAAGTATGTTCGAAATCGGTTCAGATATAGCTATAGCTTCCATATATATTGTTCATCCTATTTGTTATTTTAGTCCTCCGCAGCTGCAATGTGCACTCTGTAACAATAATATTTGGGGAAATATATCAAATACAGCTCAGAAATACATTTGCTAAATTTTATCGTGTTCGGTTCAGATTTGGATATAGCTCTCATATATAACTTCGTCCGATTTACCTTGGACTGTGCGCAAAACGTCTAATATTTGTTCAAATGGAATGGAAATTGGCACATACTTCCGAATTAAGTCTTGAAGCTAGTATGTCAAATTTGGTGAAGATCGGTTCAGATATAGCTATAGCTCCCATATATACTATTCATCCGATTTTTTATATTTGTTACCCACAGCCGTAATATGCACTCCGTAACAACGATTTTCAGGGAAATATATCAAATACAGCTCAGAAATATCTTTCCCAAATTTTATCGAGATCAGTTCAGATTTGGATATAGCTCCCATATATATCTTTATCCGATTTCAAATTAATTGTGCACCAAATGGGCAATACAAGTCCGAATTTAAAAGATACAAATGCTTCGGCATATTTAGTCCTTTGAACTTTAAATTATAAACAAAATCATAGGGTATATGATTGAATTCTCCCATAAAAACTTTTAATTGTTATGTGGAGCTCTACTAAATTTGCAAAGTGGTGTAGGGTATCATAAAGTCGGCTCCGCCGACTATTGGACTTTCTTTACTGGTTTATTTGTTAAATTTTTTTCTTGTAATTTCAATAATGAATTTTATTACTTTTTTTGATTTACGCTTGACAAATGTTTGAATTATTTTTATTGCAAAATATATTTATTTATTTCCCACAAATTTGTGCATATTTTTTAATTAAAATTTATCAAGAAAATGTATTTCAAGTGGTAGATTTTGATTATTTCTATTTTGTAATATTTCTTGACAAATAAATTTGATTTATTTCAATTAGACCAAATTTCTTAAAAAATAACCACAACATGAAACTCAAATTTCTTACAATTTCAATTTCCAACCATTATGACCAACATCATAAACATCATCCACAACACTTGGTTGAACAAAAAACAAATCTCTAAAAATAACAAATTTGTTATTAAATGTTATGGATACTTTCAAAATTTATGATTACAATTAAGAACTACTCGCTCACAGTCATCTGTTACAAACTTACAAAACAAACATCCTTAGTTCAACTAGTTCTCCATTTACTTGAGTTAGTAGTTAAGTTACTTCATACAAATCGAGAGTCCCCCTCCTTTACCCCCCATGAAGTCTTCCCTATCGTCATCAAAGAACCTTAAAAATAACACTGTAGAACATAAATTATAAGCACAACAAATAAACAAAACACACAGCAACTATTAAGAATACAAGTCAATATACACAAACAACAACACCAACAACAAAATAGTTATTGCAATAGCAAATACATAAATAAAAGAAGAAGAAAAAAAAAAAGAAATCATCATGAAACTAAAACAAATAAAAAACTACTCAAATTTTTCTCTACACAGTTGGAGGACGACATGTTATGGCTACAACAGCAGCAACGGCGTCTATATCCTTGGTCCTTGACAGTCTGGTAGTTTACAATAAAAAATACTAAGTTTAACTACAGAACATAAACAAATATATACACACACACATAGAAACATTTACAAATACACTTATAGTTATATAGAGGAGTTTTGTTTTCTTAGCCCCTTCCCTTTCAGTAATCGTCTCCCAACATACCAAAAATACAATACAGCTTGAGAATAATATTATGAAAATACCCAACATACCAAAAATACAATACAGCTTGAGAATAATATTATGAAAATAGTTTATCATAAGAATTTTTCAACAATGCTTGAGAAACACTTTTTTGCACAAACTTTTCTCAAATCTGTCCTTTGTTGACAAATTTGTTTTGATTTTTTTTTGTGAAAATTGTCAACAAAAAATTATTTTCTTTGGTTAAAATCAAAATCACGCGAATTTAGGACCCATTTCCGGACGAAACTCTAAGGTAATGATGAATAATAAATCTGGGAATCTGTAGTATAAATTATTTCAATCTCATTTCAGAATGGAGGCGTCAAAAAGTTGCAGGAATTCAACAGAAGTGAAGAATAAGTGGAGGAGATACAGAAGCTCAAATAAGGGGAAAGAAAGCATCTAGGTATCAAGGCAACAGGATCCAGTGACAGCTGGGATGGCAATCAATGAATGAAATGTGTAAAATAATTGAAAAATGAATAAATAAATATTTTTTACCATTGAAAAAATAAGCTTTATAAAATATTACTTTCGTAAGCTTATTCTGCAATTACAAGAATAAGCTTATGAATAAGGGTTCCTTTTCGATTATTCTATAATTGTTAAACAAACATTTCTCAATACATTCTCAAGATTTTCTCAAGCTTTAGGCTTATGTTTGTAAGCTTATTAAAATATTATTCTCAAGTCAATTTGGTATGTTGGGTAGTTTATCGTAGGAATTCCTCAACATTGCTAGAGAAAAACTTTTTTGCACAAACTTTTCTCAAATCTGTCCTTTGTTGACAAATTTGTTTTGATTTTTTTTTTTTTTTTTTTTTTTTTTGTGAAAATTGTCGACAAAAAAAAAATTTTTTTTGGTTAAAATCAAAATCATGCGAATTTAAGACCCATTTCTGGACGAAACTCTAAGGTAATGATGAATAATAAATCTGGGAATCTGTAGTGTATATTTTTTCAATCTCATTTCAGAATAGAGGCATCAAAAATTTGCAAGAATTCAAGAGATGTGAAGAATTAGTGGAGGAGATGCGGAAGCTCAAATAAGGGAAAGAAAACATCTAGGTATCAATGCAACAGGAGGCAGCGACAGCTGGGATGGCGATCAATGAATGAAATGTGTAAAATAATTAAAAAAATTAAAAAATAAATATTTTATACCATTGAAAAAATAAGCTTGATATAATATTACTTTCGTAAGCTTATTCTGCAATTACAAGAATAAGCTTATGAATAAGGGTTCCCTTTCGATTATTCTACAATTGTTAAACAAGCATTTCTCAATACATTCTCAAGATTTTCTCAAGCTTAAGGCTTATGTTTGAAAGCTTATTAAAATATTATTCTCAAGTCAATTTGGTATGTTGGGCTCTCTCCACCATAAGTAATAATTTTTTATATACTACCACACACACATACATACAAATGTCTTTAGGTTTATTCTATTACACAATTACATTTATAAAGCATACAAGTCATCATTAACACAAACACTTACACATCCATAGATTTACAATAACATTGTAGTTTGCTAGAATTTTTTTAGCAATAATAATATAAATCGGTTTTATGTTTACAAAAAACAAATGCTAGAAAAAAATCTTAACTCGGAAAAATATTGTCATTGTGATTTGAATGCTTAAGAAAAATATCAGCCAAGAATATGGGCCAGTTTTCGTATGACGAATGCTAAATTTGGTTTTAAAAATGTTGATTAAATTTAAAATAATCAAATGTTTGGAACCCTACACCTTGAAATGGAGGGTATATTAACTTTGTCATTGCGTTTTAAATATCCACAAATATTCTTCGTAGACCACAGAAAGTAACGATGTCCGTCTGTCTGTTTGTTGAAATCACGATACATACCCCATTATTTGACGTAGAGCTTCAAAATTTTGCAATACAATTTGTATCTTGTCTAGGATTGTTGGTATTGAAAATGATATATATCGGTGCACGTTTTATTATAGCCGCCATATAACGGTACCTCCCGATATTCGGTATTTTTCACGGATTTGTCCGAAAATTGGTATTTGTAGGTCATAATAGGTTCTAGCTCCGGTAGCAAATCATTGTATGTATAGGTCCACGTTTCTGTATAGCCGCCATATAACGGTACCTCCCGATATTCGGTATTTTGTTGATTTACGACATATTATTCCACAAATTTGTCTTAAATTTGGTATTTGTAGGTCATAATAGGTTCTAGTTCCGGTGGCGAAACATTGTATGTAAAGGTCCACGCTTTGGTACAGCCCCCATATAACGGTACCTCCCGATATTCGGTATTTTTATGATTTTTGCCACATTTTTCCTCGGATTTGTCTAAAAATTGATACTTGTAGTTCATAATGGGTTCTAGCTGCGGCGGCAGAACATTGTTTCAAATTGGAATTAAAAAAAATTTGGTAGTTCACAATCCTTGTCCATATAGGTTTTCGTTTTGGTATGACTTGAAAAGTTTAACAGCATTATCAAACGGTCTTACTGGTATTTATAGTTTAAAGTGGAACACGAACATGTTTTGTTTATCCAAAGGTGCAGGGTATTTAAAGTCCGGCCCGACCGAAATGTATTTTTTTTACTTGTTTTCTATCGCATTCATTTTATTATCGTCATAGAGAGACAGGCCCTAAGTCGGTATTCAGACACTGAACAATTTAAAAAGCGATTTCTCAAATATTTGGGAGAGGACAGCGATAATAGAACCCATTCCTTCCATCTCTTACCCTTTAGCTGAAAATTACCCAAAATGTTTTTTTTCACAATCCATTAGATTGTATTTAAAATTCTATTTCAACGGATATTTTAATTTCTGAAAATCCATGACAAGCATTATATTCAAAAGATTATACCCAATATTTTAGCCCTACAATAAAACCATAATTCCCCATTCCTTAACAGGTCTTGATTATGATTATTGTACATCTTCTCATATAAATCTTAGTTCGATTTCTGTAAAATCCTCTTAAAGTTATTTGCAACGAAAATATATTTTAAGACTTTCTATCCATCAAAGATCTACCGAAGGTTATCTTTAAAAGTCTTCTTTTATGGCGTTCTATGCATGGAAGTCCTTCTTCAAAATTCCATACGTAACCCATTGACCGTATCCTACATATAAGAAGTTTGGTGGCCTTCTGTCCTTAAAACACCTGTGGATAATTTATATTCTTATTTAATATAATAGCTTTTAATGCTCTTCTGTTCATACAAGAGTCTTTGAAGGTCGTTTATAGTATATCTTTCGCTTTAGAGAACATCTTTCGTAGAAAAGCTTTCTCTTTTTTTTCAAAAAAAAAAAAAAAAACAAATATTTTTCCAAAAAAAAAAAAAAAAACATTTCAAGAGCCTACTTTTCATAGAAAACCTTTCAACGGTCGTCTCCCCACAGAAAACCTTGTGGAGGTCATCTTTTCTAAAACACCTTTCAAAGGTCTTCTTACCAAATAAAAGCTTGTTTTATATATTTTCATAAAAAAGGTCTGCTATACAAAGAAGTGCTTTTAAAATTCTTCTATTTATAGAGGAAATTATTTTATTCATAAAAAAGCTAAAAATTATGCTATTCATATAATATCTTTTATATAAAAGAGCCTTTCAGGAGCTTATTGTTATTAAAATAGTTTTTAAATTCCTTATTTTCGCAAAGGAGCCTTTTATGCCTTCCTTTTATATAAGAGCTTTAAAATGTCTTCTTGGCCTGAAAGGCACATCAAAATATTTTTCATAGATGTCAAAGGCGGCTACACCAAATAAAAGCTTTTTAAAACTTCTTTTTCCGTTTTTTTATTCATAGATTATTTCATAGCGTCTTAGTACGTTAGCGACTTATTTTCATAGAGGATTTTTTAATTTATTTTAGCTTCCTTTACATCAACGCTTTTGAAGATCTACCTTTCATAAAAGAGCTTATAAAGCTTTTTTTCTTACTTTAAAAGTCTTATTTTTATAGAATAACTTTTAAAGACTTCCTTACAAAGACCAATGTCTTTGTTCCTTATCTTTAAAGACTTCTATTATATCTTTGTTCATTTGTTCGTAACATGGAGAAGGAAGCGAGAGAAATCCATAGTTACTTCTAGGATCTTCATAGAATCACTTTCTCAGTCGATTTATGCATGTCAGTCCCTCTGTCTATGTTTATTATCTGATTGAGATGAAATTTTTAAAACAATATTTGTTTTACCGAAGGGTGAGAATCGGCTCAAATTTAGATATAGCACCCATATATATCTTCAATCAATGTCGGGGCTATTATGCACCAAATGACCAATATGAATCCAAATTACCTAAATTTTCGTACATACGACCGAATTCAGTCGAGAAACAAGTACATCAAATTTGTTAAGAAAATGAGGTTCAGATATAGCTATAGCTCCTATGTATATATATTTCGTCCGATATGAGGTTTAAAGTCTCTCACATGCGTAATATACACTCCAAAACAATGATCTTTGGTACCAGATATCAGATACAGCTTACAAATAAGTGCCTAAAATTTTTCAACACCGGTTCAGATTTGGATATAGCTCCCACATACACCTTTATCCGATATCAGGCTTAATGACGAACCCTATTGAAATTGGTGATAATCGGATCAGATTTAGATATAGCTTCCATATATCCTCAACCGATTTCGGGTTATGGTCAAATGGCCAATATCAATGACCTGAATTTTGGTATATCTGAACGAATACAGTGTAGAAGCAGGTACTTCATATTGGTGAAAATCGGTTCAGGTATAGCTATAGCTCCCATATATATCATCCGCTTGGGTGTTAAAGTCCCTTACATGCGTAATATGAACTGAACAATAAGGATATCTGATGCCGGACATCAGCTCGAAAATACCTCTGCCAAATTTTATCGAAATCGGTTCAAATAAATATTTTTAATATAATTCTTATCGAAGTCATATCAGCAATGTTATTTGGTACTAGAGGTACTAAAGCCTCTGTCAAATTTGTTGAAAATCCATTCTGAGATGAATATAGTTCCCAAATTGTGACAACTTTAAAGCCATGATGCTACTTCACATTAATTCCCAATATCAATATAGTCGGCCCAGCCCGACTTTTGCTCCTTCCGTAGTGGTTTTATTTAGAATATCTCTTGAAGGTAATCTTGTCATATAGAACATCCTGATCTCTCTCCACATAAGTGAAAATAAGTAAATTTGCAGAAGATCTTTCAAATGTCTTATCTCCACATATGGGCTTTTATAAGCCTTTTTTGTAGATGAGTTTTTAAATTTAAAAAGGTCTGCTAAAGGTCATATTTCTTAGGTAGGACTATTTTCATAGAAAAGTATTCATATCGACCTCGAGCTACCTTCAATCCGACATTTCTCTTATTGTGACAAACCTCACTTTACATATGACTCTAACACAATGTGGAAACTAGCCTTGACTTTGTATTTATATTTTCTAATTGTAAATAAAATGACGAGTTGCAATTAAAGTAGTTCTAATATCAAATTGGTATAATTCGAATTAAAAATGTAACAATTCGATTTATAAATCAAATATTTCGAATTTCAAATGGAGTTAAACGGATTACAAATTATATTCTAGAATTAAAGACAGGACAAGACAGAGTCAAAATATGATTTTAAGCAATTTTAACCACTATGGGAATATATAATTAATTGGGAACGTCTATGGAATAGAATTTTAAAGCCACATTTTTGGATTTCCTAAACGTTTTGTTTGTCATTCGTTTCTGTAATTGTAGTTTTTATATTAACATGCCTCTGTCATGAGCTGTTACTCTATGAATTGTAGACACAAACCATTTGCTCAAAATGCATTTTGCCTACTTCTTACCATTCTAGGTCTTTGGTCTCTAGTATCGATACTTTTGGATGAAAAAATAGTCCTAAATTTGCAATTTTTAGAAATAATTGACAAAATTGACCGATATCCATTATTCTAAAATTTGCAGTGTTTTATTTCGAACAATCCCAAAAAAACAATAGTTGGCTTCCTTTACGTCATTAGTAAAATCCTGGAGATTTTAAGAACTACAGTAGCATAGTATATATTAATTTATCATATTAAAATTCATTCACATTATATGTAGATCCATCACAAACTGATTTCCCTTATATCCCTCTCCATTTCAAGTGACCTACATACAAATGAATTCTAATTATTATTGGTAATTAATTTAATTAAAATTCATGACATTTTCTGTTTGTTTGGTTATTTATTTTATTTAAATATCTTTCATAAATATTTAAAAATTAACACTTGTCAACAACCATAACTGGTGATTAACATGAACCAATCCACATGAATGGCTCGGCAGGAAACCGACACTCACCCACACAACGAACAATACAAAGAGATAATTGAAAATGTTACCACAACAAACAAGACATGCAACAAAAATAAACAGCAGTCATCAGAAAAATGAAAACCATTACAAATATAAACACATATACAACTATTCATATATCCATATATCCGTTCATCTGTATATCCTTCATTTCATCCATTCATCCGTCAGACAACGAGTCTGTCGTCAGCTATCCGACTGTCTGTCTGCTACAAATGTGTCATTTTTAATAATTAAATCACAAATTCCTTTGTTAAGGAGTCAACCATAAGTTAATTAAATTGAAATATATATTTTTTTTGCGTTCTACTATTTTTAAGTTGTCCGGATTTAATTCCAATGAATAAATTTATTTATTTATATTTGCGTTGTTTTCGTTTTTATAATGAATTTAATTTGAATTGTTGTTGTGTTTGTTTCAACTTTAATTGACATTGCATGTCAATTTAATGTCAGTTGCCATTTTTTGTGGTCTTGGATGAGCATGAGTCGCTAATTTGTATGCTGATTGATTTGAGATGTTTTGTTTTTGGGGATAAAGAATTTTCGCGATTAGTTGCAATTTCCTGCAAATTCCGGGAATGTCCTGTGTAGGTGACAGCATAGAATGTCTGAAAAATGAACTGCAATTAATTATATAGTCTTGTGGTAAAAGTAAACGTTTCGCTTCAAACCCTTCTCTTACCTTTTGGCTTTATGTGTCAAGTATTCAGTACAAGTATTGTAGGCAAAAAAATTAAGAACAAACATTGAAAATGTTGACGATTTCACCACGACTTGAAGAGTTTTTTAAATATTTGGTATTTTTTCAAAAAAAAAATTCAATAGTTTGGAGAAATTTAATTTTAACAAATACTATTCTATAAAGCTGGAGATATCGAGGTCAATTTTATCTATTGACTTTTTGCGTTACCTAGTCTTATACTCTTAAGGCCATTATGAAAATCATGCCATAGATAAAGATGACTGATTAAGATGCTTTTTAAGCCCTACACCACAAGGTAGTCAGGGTATTACGTCTTTGTGCATTTGTTTGTAACAGGCAATAGGAAATGAGATAGACCCATAGTTTATTTTGAGGATCTTCAAAGAATCACTTTCTGTGTCGATTTATGCACGTCTGTCCCTATGTCCGCCAGTTTGTCCATGTATTTTTGTGAACAAAATGAAGGCCGCATTTATTATCCGATTAAGATGAAATTTTCTAATCAATATTTCTTTGGCCAAGGACTAACCCTATTGAAAATGATGAGAATCGGTTCAGATTTGGATATAGCTCTCATATATATCTTCAACCGATTTCGGGTTAATTGTCCTCCAAATGGCCAATATCATTCCAAATGACCTGAATTTAATTTTAGCACATCCGACCGACTTCCGTCTAGAAGCAAATAGATCAAATTTGGTGAAAATTGGTTTAGATACACCCATATCTCCCATATATATGTTTCATCCGATTTGATGTTTAAGTCCCTCACATTCGTAATATGCACCCAACCAGATTGATATTTGGTACCAAATATCAGATACAGCCCAGAAATACCTCTGTCAAATTGTATGAAGATCGCTTCAGATTTGGATATAGCTCCTATCTTTTATATATCTATAAAAGAGGAAAATGTTTGTATGTTTGTTTGTTTGTTTGTTTGTAATTTATGGACTCGAAAACCGCTGAATAGATTTTCCTGAAAATTTCCATATATACTGCAACATCGCCTGAAAGTAACATAGGCTATATACATTTTTGAATTTCCACTTGGAACTGGAGATATAGCATCAGAATCGGAGGTACCTCCCAAAAATTTAGATTTTATATGCACATATCTATTGATTGGTTGAAGATACAGTCTCAAAATTTGGAATACGTAACGAAATTTGGGACAAAAATAAGTCTGCCAAATTATATTGTAATCGGTTCAGATTTGGATATAGCTCCCATATATATTTTCGACCGATTTCAAGCATTTGATGCACCAAACACGCTATGTATCCCCAATTTCAATGAAATTTGAAACGTGTGATAGATTTTATCTAAAAAATTGATTTCCCAAGTTATATTGAAATCGGTTCAGATTTGGATATAGCTCCCATATACATTTTCGGCCGATTTCATGTATTTGGTGGACCAAACACGACATGTATTTCCAATTGTAATGAAATTTAAAATAAGTAACGGAATTGGGAGCCAAAATGAATTTGTCGAATTAAATTAAAATCGGTTCAGATTTGGATATAGCTCCCATATATATTTTCGACCGATTTCATGTATTTGATGCACCAAACACGATATGTATGTTCGATTCCAAAGAAATTTGGAATATGTAACGGGGTTTTGATTTGAAAACAAATTAGTCAAATTACATTAAAATCGGTTCAGATTTGGATATAGCTATTTTCCGCCGATTTCACATATTTGATGCACAAAACACGTATTCGTATTTCCGATTCCAATGAAATTCGGCATGAGTGGCTAAATTTGGTACAAAAATAAATTTGACAAATTATATTCAAATACGCTCAGATGTGATTATAGCTCCCATATATATACTCAGCCGATTTCACATATTTCATGCACGCAAAGCGAGAGAGACAAAATCTGGCACCAGCAAAAATTGCCAAATTATATTGAAATCAGTTGAGGTTTGGATATAGCTAACAAATATATTTCGGCCGATTTCATACATAATTGGAAATTAGTTAAGATTTGGATATAGCTCCCATATATATATTCTCGGCCGATTTCACATATTTGACGCACCAATTTCAATGAAATATGAAGGGTGTGGCGGAGTTTGGTGTAAAAGTAATTTTTTTAAAATTATATTTAAATCGGATCAGATTGGGATATGATTTTAATAAGAACCAAATAGAAATGCCACTCTACTTAAAAAAGCAGTTTCCTGTATGCTTGGTATTTGCTATGAAATAAACAAAGGACAAACCCTTCGTGTATGCATGTCATGTTACTGCTTTTGTAATGATTTTGTTTATTAACGCATTAAATTAGTGCAATATTTTTTTTTAATTTTTAAATTTGTTTTTCTTTATCCAACATATATTCAAAAGGGGTAGCGAAGCGCACCGGGTTCAGCTAGTATATATATATATATCTTCAACCGATTTCGGGTTAATTGTCCACCAAATGGAAAATATCGGTCCAAATGACATGAAGCAAGTACATCAAATTTGGTGAAAATCGGTACAAATATACCATTCGACAACAATGATATTTGTACCACATATATTATAGAGCTCGGAAATACCTTTGCCAAATTTCATCGAGATCGGCTAAGATTTGGATATAGCTCCCATATATAGCCTTAATCTGATTTCAGACTTATTGTGCAAATAATGGCTAAATCAGCCCAAGTGGAGTGAAATACGGCTGGGATATATATTGTTTAATACAATCTTTCTCGAAGTAATATCATGCACTCTAAAGCAATGTTATTTGGTATAAAAGATACAAATATCTCCGTCAAATTTAGTGATATTCAATTTAGAATTGGATATGCCTCACATATATTAGTTACCTCTGAAACCAAATTTTAACTGCGCTAAAACCAAATACTGATAGGTGGTATGATCTACTTCAAATAAGTTCTTTTTTTACGGGAGCTCTACTAAATATGCATAGTGGTGTAGGGTATCATATAGTCCGCCCCGCCCGATTTTTGACTACAACTCGCGCTTGAAAGTTAACTACAAAAGAGCTAATTACAAAATGTGAAAAAATCACTCTATATATGGCTCAAACAGAATGTGAAGACCGACCTTAAGGCATTAACAAAAAACATTAAATAGACCCAAAACTTAACTAAACCATAAAGGTCAATGATGAAAAACAACTCACAGAGTATTTTTTATTAAAGACCTCCATTTTTATTGATTTTTTTTCGTATGATTTGTATAAATTACTTTTTTCTACACAATATGCGATTATATTGCTTTGCATATATATACACACACATATATACATACAAGATTTTCACACATATTTATGCATGCCCTATATTTATAATTTTCAATTCATTTAAATTCCACACTGCATGTCTGGCTTTTGCAACTCTAATATTTCACGCAAATTACCACAAATATAGTTGAACAAAACAAATAATAGTAATAATTGAAAATGCATACACACACAAATAGATTATAAATTAGACAAGCGAAAACTTGATGAAATAATGATATATAATTTATTTTTCAATTTCCAAAAAAAAAACATTTTCTCTCTCTTCCATTGCATATTTTGCGGGGGCTGATTTATAGGAGGAATATTGATGATGATGAGACAACCGTATAAAAATAACTGTAAACTGGCAGCAGAAGCAGCAAATCAAATCAAGCAATGACAACAACAAGAACAACAACCCCGCAATCAATAACAAATTGACCTGGGGTAATAATGAAAGGCTGGCCAGTGAAACAACAATAATCCCTGATCGCTGCTGTCATCATCAATAAATCGCAACAAAAACAAAAAACAACAACAACAACAACAATAAATGATTCCTTATGCGCCATAAAAGTAAGAGAAGTATTTATATAACAATATTAACATTTATTATTTTTGCTGCAAAATGAAAACAACCACAACAACAATATAAAAACTATTTCAAAATTGGAATTTAAAATGCTATAAATATTGAAATTATCAAATAGTTATTGGAAATATGTAAATGTAACAAGTCCAAAAACAATAACAACAACAAAATCTTAAAGAGGAAAAAGTAAAATATAACAATACCGGGGGAATACGAAATTATTTAAAACATCCAGAAGGGAAAATATTTAAAAAAAAATATTTTTCTTGTCCAAAAAATTTGTTTATTTGCTCTCAGACAAATTTGTTTGTTTAACAGTACAACAACATCTTGCAAAAATATATGTAATCAATTTATTATTAAGGAGACAAAGTAAACTAAACACAGCCACAAAGAAATGCGTATCCTTGGAAAAACAAGCAAAAGAATACGACATGAAAGGAAATGTAAACATTTATATTTATTTCTTTATTGGATATAAAATAATATAAACCATTTTTGTGGAAAAAATCTTAGCAACAAATCCCTTTCTCTCTCTCTCTCTCTCCGTCTCTCTTCACCTTATCCCTGGCCCAAAAGACAAATAAGATATTTCATTTATTATTTACCAAGCAAATAAATGGTTAGAATATAAATATTTTATTGGTCACAAAGGGAGAGATTAGATTTGGAATATATATGTATGTACATAAAAATGTATACATGTATATAAGTATATTACCGAAATGGGATAGTACTTTTTGTGTGAAAAGTGTATGAAAAGAAGAATGATTAGGAATTTAATTGTATTTAAAACTTACTGAGGAGCCGAAGTAATCACGTAAGGACTGTTGCATATTTTTAGGATGCTTCTTATATTTATTAAATATTGAAACCAGAGTTTACTCTAAGAGGGAAATCGATTGGAAAGATGTTCGTACAAGTAAAGCGGGAGCCGGTATCCATACATATGCAATTGCACACACAATGACGAACTTGAGTGTAACTCTCGCTCTCTCCATGATCAGAAAGACTTTGTTTTCTCACGAACAGCTCTCCGCCGAGCCCCGATGTAGAGCAGCAAACAGGTTTTAATTTTGCTGTGGGTTGTCGCGTACAAAAGCCGCGAGGAGAAAAATAATAGAATATATTGGAAGGGAGCGGTGGTTTGAGTACATAAGGCAACCAAACTCTGAATATGTTTTTTATACCCTACACCACATAGTGGTAAGGTTATTATGTCTTCGTGCATGCGTTTGTAACATGGAGAAGGAAGCGATTGAGATGAAATTTTTCAACAATTATTTGTTTGGCCCAAGGACGAAACCTATTGAAATTGGTGAGAATCGGTTTAAACTTAGAAATAGCTCGCATATATATCTTCAGCCGATTTCGGGTAATTGTGCACCAAATGGCCAATATCAGTCCAAATGACCTAAATTTAGGAACATCCAACCGAATTCAGTCTAGAAGCAAGTACATCAAATTTGGTGAAAATCGGCTGAGATATAACCATAGCTTCCATGTATATGTTTCAAAAATTTGGCGTTTAAGTCCCTCACATTCGTAATATGCATTCGATGACAATGATATTTGGTACCAGATATCTTAAAGCGCTCGGAAATACCTTTTCCAAATTTTATCGAGATCGGCTTAGATTTGGATATAGCTCCCATATATATCCTTAATCCGATTTCAGGTTTATTGTGTAAATAATTGCTTATATCAGCCCAAATGGAGTCAATTTCGGGACGATGTTTCCATTTTGTGGAACTTGACTCCGATATATATTTTTTTGATATAATCCTTCTCGAAGTGATATCATGCACTACATCCAATTTAGTGAAAATCGATTCAGAATTTGATATTACTTATATATATTAGCTCACTCTGAAACTAAGTTTTAACTGCTCTAAATCCAAATATTGATAGGCGGCATGATCTACTTCAAATAAATTATTTTGTTACGGGAGCTCTACTAAATATGCATAGTGATGTAGGGAATCAGTTAGTCGGCCTCCGCCCACTTTTGACTTTTCCTTACTGTTTTCTGCAAAGATAAACGTATTCGTTTTTATTTTGTTTGCATACACATACATACAAATAAAACAACGGTATGGCGAAAACTAAAAGAGGGTTTCGCAAGACCAACATACGTAACGAATTTCACTCCCACTCGAAAACGAGCCCGGCATACTCGCTCTTTCTTCGAGTGAAAAAAGGAGAGCCAAACTCGATTTTTTTTCAATCCCAGGAGTCTCCCGCTCGAATTTAAGTAGAGAGCAAAACTCGCTCGGGTATTTCTGAGCTCTGGTTGAAATTGATTTCTGTCGCTTTTCTTCAATTCTCCCACAAGCCAAAAAGTAGGCAAACCTTGACGTAATTTAATTTCTTATTTGACCCTCCACCCCAAAAAGGAAGAGTATATTCAATTTGCCATTTCGTTTGAAAAAGCATAAATTATTCGTCTATCTGTCACCTCGCAATATGAAATAAAATTTTACACTTGATATTATTCCTACGGCATAGAAAATAGAATGTATGCGTCAACATTTAAGCATAGCCTCCATATTAAGAAGATTTTGGACGCAATTAACCACTACATCAGTTTCACTCCTTAGGAAAAAAAATAATGCCGGTTCACTTTTAGATATTGTTCCAAATATAAAGGTACCTGCCTATTTTCATCATATTTATTGTGAATGCATTAAGTCTCCTCTTAAATATAGGTCTAGCCGTCACAGACCAGAATATCCAAATTTTAAGCCAAGCCGAACTCAACACCATTTTTTTGGCTTACACTCTGTTTTACTCGACAAAAGGATAGATACTAGTTTACACATCATGTCAGAGTCATATGTTTATTGACCCTCTCACAATTATTTTTAGTATTGTTATAGCATACTTTACGGCACTCCCGTAATTTCATTTAAATGTAGAGAAACGTTTTTTTGGACAGTATATTATTTACATAGTAAAGATATTATTTTATGACTTGATATAGCTTGGAAGCGCTTAAAAGTATACTATATTTTTTAAAATCTAAAGGGAACTCTGTACTATATAAATTATATACTTTCTAATGCTATGTAAAATGGTTATACGATACCTTTACTATGCTGATACTTTATTTATACTACACTATAAAACATTTTGTTGTTTCGATAATATTAGTGGGAGCACCTAAAAGTATGCTATAGAAATGACAACTAAAGAAATTTTGATATGACTCTAACATGATTTGAAAACTAGCCTTGTTGCGACATTATCATCTGTCGTCAACATCACACCTTTTAAACCTTTGAAATCGATTGCGTTGACTTTGAGATAGGAAGAAAATCGAAGAAGGAGTGGCCAGTGGAATCGGTTCCGAGGTTACGAATTGCCGATTTCTTTAGACTTTTTGAATTGAAATCGTGGGAGAGAACAGGGGATTATCGGTTTAGATCGAGTTTCAATAAGACTTTCATTCACTGTTCGTAGGCAATAGAGTTGACCCGCTTAGTAATCGTTTGGTGGTTGTCCGCTCCTTAGCGATTGAGGATAATCGGTTTGATGGTAATTTAACGTTTTTCAACTCGTTAAAAAAACTTTGGTGAGTCAGTTTGTCGAATAATCTCGCAATGTTCTTTGGTAGTTTCGTACTTTTTTCATAACATCCTAAAAGTATGCAACGGTAAACAAAGCAAGCAAATAACAATAAAGTCGATATCTTCTATGAAAAGCTCTAAAATAGAAATCGACTTTTGTTTGAAATTCAAATGACTTTTTAGCCTATGGTTGATCGAGATATCAAAAAAAAAAAACTAAAAATGGGAATTTGTTGTTGACTACATCAACCTATTTGGTTTTGATTTTTTGAGCAGGGTTTGTTTGCTTTACTAAAAACATTTTAGGGGAGGCTTATATTCCTTCTACAAAAACCAAAGCCAATACCACTCGAGTGGGCTACATTTTTCGATTCCAATCTCAGTTTCATGCACTACAATATTCCTTCCTCAACAAAAGAAACAGATTTCCCACAAAAAAAAAAAATGAATTTCCTTTTCATAACTTTGAAAATTGAGAGATTTTTCAACCGGATACAACTACAATGACAACAAAGGCCAGGCACATGACTCGATATTAAAAAATATATTTTGATAATTAATTTTGTACATAAATTACATTTAATAATTTAATATAAAAATAATAATATTTAATTTAAATGAATTAGTGTTAGATTTAAAATTAAAATTAATTTTTGATATAAATAAAAAAATAGTTTATTTTATATAAGTAACAAAAATAATTTAAGAGAAGTAATTAAACAAAAAATGTTTCTTTCCAAGTCAGACTGATTTTATTTTTGTCACACACACATTTTACAAATAACGTCAAAAACAAATTTCATAAATTCATAATTCGCCTAGTTTTAAGACGAAAATATGTGAAATTGTTTCACTCGATTAAGTAATCTCAAAAAAAATAAATAAATAAAAACTCAAAGTATTTTAAGTCAAAATAAAGTATTTAAGTCAAAATTGTGAAAACAAAACATCAACAGCAAGTATTTAAGATTTATTTTCTTCTTGGAAACCAAACGATTTTATTTAAAGGAATTATAAAAAATAATTATTTAAAAAATATATATAAATAAATAAAATTTAAAAAATACTAAAAAATATGTGCAAACAATTGGAATTTTATTAAAATAGAAAAAATATAACTTTATACTTTGGAAATGTAAAAAATTCAAATTCAAAAAGTGTTTAGACAAACAAATTCTCTTTTGCATTGCGAGTTGGTGGAAGAGGAAAGGCGTAGAGTATGCTTCACCGACTACAAAACCAAGGGTTCTGAGTTCGATATTCGGGGACTTAATATAGATATAAAAGTTTCAGTTTGGGTATTCCATACCATCAGCCATCATACCAAACAAATGTAACTTTCGTAACTTTTAGAAGCCACCGAAATTATTAATTTCGTCTGAAGTACCCTGTAAAAATAATGGTCTAGTAACTTGATTTTTAATTAGTTATAAATATCA